AACACAACTACTCGAAACACTATGAAAGGTCGATACCGCAGAGGTGGTGACTCTATATCCTTTGAATAGTTGTAGGAACCCCCAATAATCATCATATATAATAACAATCCTTATAACAGCGAGAACTGCTAAAATGGCAATGATAGCCAGACATTCTGAGTTTAATTGAGCAAATCTCATGAATGATGACAATGATGATATCCCTCTACAACGACTGGCTAGTCCTTATCATTCACTCATTACCATCCGATGGTTGACCAACAGCAGCTTGTTCTCCCTCATTCAGGGCTGCAACCTTACCCCAAAGCTCAGCTAATTGTTTATGGGTCTCAGTAGTCCTTTTAACAAACTCCTTTGCCACCTCATTGTACACTGCCGTCTTGCTGTGCATAAAATTCTTCATCTCAATGATGGTAGCATTATAGCCAGTACGCCAGTAGTATGCCTCAACCATATCCCTCTGGTCACACAACTTCTGCATAGATTCGCTACCTCCAACAGCTGCAGTAGCGGTCTTAAAGGTACCTTCGACGCTCTTCACAGGGTGCTTCAACATACTGCTCATGCCACCCTTCTTACTACTACTACCACCCTTCTTCTGACGTATCTTATCATTCAGTTTATCACGTGAATCACCAAGCTCCACCACCTTATCCAACGACTCCATCATAGCTGAACAATCTATAACCTCTCTTTGTATAACAGATGCTAATAACTCCAAGTGGAATGCCTGCGCTGGAGTTGATAATATATTCTTCTGCTCATAGAATGCATCAGCCAAGTTGACCCTAACAATATCCTTCTCATTCTCGGCCGCACACAGGGCATGACCTGCGCCCTGAGTAGCGATAGTATTCATATCTTGTAGTTTATAATGGCATAGACCCAAAGCAGTAGTCGCCTTATTAAAGCTCTCTGCAGAGGTACTCAGCTGAGAGAGTAGCTTCTTCAATGCTGACTTATGATCTCCTAGATAAGTCTTGGCGGTGGTCAACAACGGCTTCGCGTCAATCTGACTTCCACTGCTCTCTGCTGGAGTACCCTCTTCTGGTTCCTCACCATTCTCACCCTCGTCTGATGGTTTCCTAAAAGGACCTCCCTGCATAGCCCCACATCTAGGAGTCCTGCCTACTCATTCTCTTTGCTGCCACTGCCATCCTCCTCCTGCTGCTGCTTCTGATGATCATCCTCTCCTCCTTCAACAGCAGCACTGACATCACGTTGTAGGCCAGCTTGGAATCTAAGGTTCGAGCAGTTAACTACTCCCAAACTCTTATGGTCATCCTATTACTCAGGGACCTCCCTATCGTATATAGCACGATTGAAGTCCTCTATCAAACTTTCCATGGATTTACTAGCGAATTCCTGACACACAATGCCAGCATCTGTGTAGTCAGCAACATATGGAACTGGAATACCTTCTTCGCTGTCTCATATGTGTTCTCTTGAGTCGACAGAAAGGCCGCCATAATAGGGGAATTGCGAAGCCACGGACGGGCACAGCACCTGCAACCGTGCTTCTCTCGAGCATGATGAGCGAACCATTACCTAGTGAGAAACTCTTCGAGAGACTGCCTTCTGGCCTCAATAACACGATCAGTAGGCTTAATCTGATTCATAACGGCAGTGGTTGGCTGTTTCAATAGGACATGGAATTGGCTCTTACTGGCCAACGGAGGTACAAACATACCCGGGAGCGACCGGACCTAATGACACAATAATGAGGTGTTATTCCTGCCGATATCACGACTGTCAACTTCGTTTTTACCAGTTCTTCCCGGAGAACTGTGAAGTCCGTATACCTCTTCCGAGTATTACTACTGACACCAGAGGCACCAGTTACCTGAAGTATCGGCATCTGCAACAAGACAGGACGGATATATGGCTCACAGTGACAGCATAGGTAGTAATCTTATGTATACCCGCAGGCCCAGCACGCTTAGTCTGTGGGTCTGTTACACTCACTGTAACGCCTTGATCCTCACTGAATAACATATTATAAGGACTTGGTAGAAATAGTGTACACTCCTACATCGTCATTGATCCTGATCTGAACAGCTTGTTGAACTCCATAGGTGATACAGTAACTACGAGGGGATACGCAGTGAAGTGATGACAATACAAACAATGATGGCTCACCTTCGAATTGGGCCTCAGTGCCTGTCGCTGCTGCCGCCTCCTCCTCATTTCTCCTAGTAACATCTCCATCATCATAATCAGCAACTTCAGAATCGTGATGGATGGGCAGAGTTGGTTCCGTTGTCTTAGGCGAACTCATAATAATAATAACCCGAAACTACACAATGATACAGCAATGACAGTACTTGTAAAATTCAACTTGTTGTAATCATGTTCGTGAGTGGTGGAGGATTCTATCATTGTGGTTCAAGATGGAGGCAATGCTTCGACAAGTTCCGAAGTACCACACCAATGAAAATAGTCAATAGACATCGAATGGGGTGCTAAGACAAACAGGCTATGATGTTTAGCTCCAGACCCGCTCTGTTGGCCTTGTTCTGTGCATTTGGCCGGCGCCGCCGGTTTGGAACTATGTAGTGGTGTCCATCGACCAAGGGTGACCTTCTACTCACCAAATTTATCAGGGAGGATGCAAAGCGATCGGGGAGAGATCACCCCAACAAAAAAGAGCCATTAGAGTCAGTCTTCATCATAGGCTGTCACACAGGAAGAGCAACTCCTATAGCGATAAACCTAGGGAGCATCTCCACTACGACTTGTGTCATTCAATGGATCAGCGACGCCAACACATTACCGTTAGGGAGACTCAAGAGTAACTAAGAGAGCAAGATTCAGGTAGACGATGTCCTCTTGGCACTACCCGAACCGTTCAGAGTTCGGACCCTCTCCCTGTGCATCGTTCGAGTCGCACCCAAAGTCATGAATCTAGCTTGCCAGAGATGAGCACTTGAGTATTAGACATTGGGGTGCTTCTTTCCCCCTCCGCCTCGACCCGCCTTGTAGGACCAGCTCCAACGGTGTAGTAGTAGACTATAAAGGCGGAGTGGCATCAGTTATCATCAGGCGTCCTTAACTCCTTGCACTCACCTTAAGGTATCGCCGTGTCTAGCAGCGATAGAGGATACTATAGAGAGCTTCTGATTAGCTCCTACTCTACCATTGCCGAGTTTGATCATTCAGAGTGCGTCTGACCATAGCATGATGATCGTTCCCAGATCCAAGGAAGATTCTAAGCAAAGCGATCCCCGACCTTTACCATTCCAACACTTTCCCGAGTTAGATGTAATTGGTACGACCGTTTTTATGTGACCAACAGAAAACCTCAAATGGTAAACGAAATATAATTGATTATCACAAGTCATATAAGCAGATGACTAAACAAGAGTACCTTCGACCCCATGAACTACAGCTGGAACCGATGCTTCCACTTCTAGACTGGTATACGCTACATGATGATCCCTATTGCGTTTGATGATGCAATAAGCCATTACGCAGCATAAGACTAGTGTGGAGCTGGATAATACGCCAATACATATCTCTATAAAGGCTCTTTCACGAATTGCACTACCGAAGATTGATCGAAACAAAGGGTTTCCGGGTTCATCCCAGAGTATAGGAGGAAAAGTCGTCATATGCAGGTCATCTACAGCGTTGCCAATGACCAAAGTGAAATTCCTAAAATTGTGATTGAGAGGGATACGCTTCATGTTGTAGAAACCGGTATTACCATACTCATTAAGAAGGACATTTCTTGGTTTGTTAGGGACCATAACTTGGGCTGTGAAGTTACCACCTTTTTGAGTTGACCATGTAGATGGTACCAAGTCGGACACTGTATTGCAAGCATTAGGCCAACGGCAGACTCTAGGGAAAGGCACCGAGTCTGGACATTTGCACTTCTGGTTCAAATCAGCAGACCATTTATCCTGTTGCGATAGCACCCATACATCCACATGACAGGTCTGACCCTTGTAGTCTGTCTGGGCGTAGAATACATCAGTATTGCAGCCGGTAAAGGAGTTACTAGGCAGATCAGTGCCATTTCCAGGGAGATGAGCAGCTATACGATAACCTGGGCCCATCTTGGCCTTGAGTAAATCCAAGATATTGTCGAAGTCGCCACCATACCGTCTGAACGAGGCATCACAATCATCGCGCATGAGTCCAACATCGGCGTCTTCAGCCCATGGGATC